GGTCATTCCCAGGGCAATGTAATGAAAAATAAGAAGTGTTTCAAAACAATTCGGGTGTTACATTACATGTGATGCTTTTAAAGCATAATAACTAACTTGTATCAATTTTAATTATAAATCGTGATGTTGAAATATATGAGTAAGGTGAACCAATTTCCATATTAGGAAATATAAAACCCAAGAAATGAATATATAAACACCGAAAGATCCTGATTTGTTATATGAAATACAAGTAAACGTCTTAAAGTAAAATGTGTGTCAGGTATCATTTACCATAGACTTGAGAAAAGGTTTCTTTAAGAAACATTAGTCACAATTAATTATTAATCTTCGCCTGGTTAAATTGTTTTTATTCAAAGCCTAAAGTTTCTTTTTGCCTCAAAGAATTATAGATATGTTCACGTTGTAAGATCGGTACTGCATTGTATTTCACTTCCAGGACAAAGGCGGTCGAAACATTGTGCAAGATTGTTGGTTTCTTAATTCTTGAAAAACGATACAATGTTATCGGTCAAACGGTGATTACCCTTTGTGTAAATTGTAATTGGACTTGGCCGTTCTAATCACTTCAAATGATGTAAGCATCTGACCAAATTGGCACGCTGCTGATGGACTTAAGTACATTAGAGTACACGTCAATCGCCAGTCATACAACTCAGAGTTTATTACCCTTGTTTGTGTAAACTGATCGCATCAAATTATTTTTCATCACGTTAAGTAGACGCCACAACTTTTTCAGCGGTATAACAAAAAGCCGGTTAATGACTTTCCCGTCTAGTTAAGCTGCAAAAAATATAAAGATTAAAAATGGGTCAAGACCGAAGTTTGTGATATATAAATTTACTACGGAAGCAATAAAATATTTCCGAAATGCTTTATGAACTTTGAGTTTTTGTTCATGATCTACCTTGATAATGATACATTTGTTTAAAGTTATTCTGATAACATTACATGCGGCAAAAAATCATAATGGGGGACATCATTTCACAACAGGCATGCATGTGTAATTCAAATATATGACAATAAAATATTACTAATTCAAAACCAGTTGACAATGATAAAATTGCCAGAAAAGAAATTTGTAAGAGTTTTCATTTAGGGCCATTTGGGCCTGTACGGAATCATTGCTAAAATGTAGAAACACTACTTAAATTTTGTATCGGAACATTTTATTCTGTTTACGTATAAGCATTCTATGAAGAATCTACCATAATAATATGTTATATAGAAACAAATAAATTATAGAAACAACATAATTCTATCGTTTATGGATGTTATAGAATTTTTATGAGATATAGCTTTAGCTTTATACACATAAAAGGCCCATTGAACCCAAAACAAATGTATCAGTATTATTTCTTAGAAGCTTAAAATGCTCTTCTTTTGTTTCTGTTCCAGTTTCCGACTTTGTATATTTTGGCAGTTGTGTTCTTTTTTATAAATATAAACATATCTTTCTATCTATCAAGAGAGGCAATTACTGTTATAACATATAAATTTACTTCGATCCAAACCAATTGCGGTCAAATGTACTTTAACATTTGTTACCTACATATATAATATTGATGGATGTAATACTTACGTGCTACATAACATCAGCCAAGTGATCAGTTTCAATAAAAGTATCAGTGTATAATTATTTGCTCCCATTCTTTACGTAGTTGTTCTCTTTTGGGAGTAATATTTCGCTCGCTGGCGGTATAACTTTTGACTATTCATGACACAAGGATAAATAAAATTACCCCCTTCATTTATTTACTCAGGGTGAGATGGAATTAATAAATCTATTATTCACATGCCTGGTTCTGTTGTATAAATAGTGACGAATCGTTACTTTCAAAGAAGAAAAGCTTTGAGACGGAGTGGAGAAGCTTAATTCAGAAATCGCAAGCGAGCAATAACACGATTGAAGCGGTTGGCATAGCATTTACTAAGACAGGGGAAATAGCGTTGAAAAAGAAAAGGAAATTTGTTAATATAAGAAAGTCAGAGACAGTTTTATCTAAACAAATTATAAATATAAACAAAATAAATGTTTAATGATTTCAAATCCCGATAAACATAACAAATGGGTTTTTTATCTACATTTTGTTTATGCTTTTTAGAAAATTAACAACAAAAACATATGTCCAATAACGAGCTTAGTGGAGTGTCTGATAATGCGCTCGATGTAAAAACAGATTATGAACGACTTCAATTTAACCAGAAGTTATAAAAAATAAAAGTAATTAGTTTTGACTAATTGCCTTTTCAATATGTACAGACGTGATACACCTGTGAGTAACACTTCCTTTCCATTCACCTAATCGTAATCTGTCTGAATCGGTAAACAGTTGTGTAGTTTTTTCCTTTTCCTGTTTCAAATTTAAAAAAAGTTGCGGCCAGATGGTTAATAATTTTGAGTGACACAATAGATTATAGGTATAATGTCTCCATTGCATGTTTAATTCTATTAAAAACTGATTCGGAAAATATTTTGCACTCAGGTGAGCCTAGCGGGACAACACATTGTATTCTTTATTTGAAAGAAGACACATTAAAGGGAATAAAGAAATGTAACTATACACCGTGACAACCTTGTTACTTTCATACCCAACAGTCTTTCTTTACAATTGCCTCTGTGATTTTGCAAATAGATATTCAAGGGAAAAACACCCTGAATCACAAAAAAATGGGGATCCACTAACATTTTAATATTGTTTGGTCTGTGTCTTTTTATAGAATGACCTTTTACGCGCGTATTTGCTGTAAAAAGCAGACGACAGTCGAAAATTAAGAAATTATTTTAAACGGAAAGTTATCGCTTTAAACAGGGAGCATATAGATGAAAGGCAAATATTCTTTTATGACAGAAGATGAAAATAAATATTTGATAAAAGTGAGTGCAAATCCATTCAGTCATATCAAGGGCTGTCTGATAACCATAAACATATTATCTTCCGAACAGCGAACAATGAAAATGTTTCGATAACTGTGAAGACTAACAATGGTCAGTGAAGTCAATTGCTGTCCGAGGTTACTTTAAAACAGAGATAGTGGAGACCTTGGTACTGTATTATCTAGTTTTATAAAGTAAGGTTTCAAATCTTACTATATTTTCAGCTGGCCCTTCGGGATCATTCTTTCCAAAACTTTCAATGTTGGGCATTGAATTTGGGATGTGGTAGATTTTGCATTTTATAAAGGCTCTCATAACTAGCTAGTATCTCTCATGAACAGACTCGATCAGAAATTTTCATATTTTTACTTATGTTGTCATTTCTCAAGAGGGATCACCATTTTTCCGGATTTCAATACTCAAAATTACAGGAACTCACCACGGATCGTGTGGCAGCTGTAAACAGTCGACCGATCTATTTTTCTGGATCATTGATTGCAGTAATTTTACAATTGAGGAATGATTTATAACTCTTAAGCCTGCTAAAGGGCTTGAGATGTTGCACACATAATTAAGCCAGACCTAAAACACACTTCTGAAGACTTTCAATTAACTCTTTTTCTGGTGTATTTCATTCATTCGTAATTTCTCCTTACAAAAAAAGTTTTCTTCTTTAAAGTTTATTTTTTATAAATTAGATATCAATGTTACTGGATGTAGGACAACAGCACTTTGATTAAAAACACGCAAGTTGGTTTTAATAGAATTTGACGCAGGCCCAGCGATGTGCTAAAGGTCCCCAGTAATAAAGATAACCACCTTCAGAATCTTGAGATTATAACATATGAGAAAAAAGTGTTGACAGTTAATCTCCGTAATGGACCAGGGCACCTCCTAGAAAGCATGTGTTGCAAAGACTTTCACAGAGGCACAACGACATCAACTTAAAGAAGATAATTATGAAGCATGCTGTATGTCAAAATAACTTAAGACTTGAAACCGATTTATATAGGTGATCGGTAACCAGCACATCTTAAGAATTAGTATGCCGTTGTCAAAATTAATATGTTAATGTTACTACATGGCTGGTTTTAATAAGTTTAATTAGTTGTAAATAACTAAATACAAGAATTGCGCATCAAGCAGTAGTTGGCCTTTTAATCCTTTCCCTGCGCTCGATCTCAAATGTCAGGATTTTCATTGGTCAGTGTACAATTTGTGCCGATTTTTAACCAATCAAATACCTGAAATCGGAGTTTTTGGCTTGGTTTCACGTCGCACTAACATATTACAGGTCATATGGCGACTTTCCAGAATGACTTCAGGTATCCCTTCGTGCGTTATTTCAGGATTGAGAGGGCACCTGCATAGAACTACCAACGTTCCGTAAACTAGCTTGATAGCTTCCTCACATGACAGAATCCGAAGTCCGTGGCAGGATTTAAACCCACAGCGGTGAGGGATAAGTGGTTTAAGCTCAACAACCTTAACCTCTCGGCCATTGACCTTCTTTTTTAACATTAAACCCTGGTAAAATGTGCAGATTGATTAGCCTCTATATTGATAATTGTCGGCTTATCACGTTAAGTCACCAATAATAAATATTAAGCAACATAATTATAATTATGCACGAGACGAAGTCCTTTAACTTATTGAACAACCCTCGTACAACTGTTCATTTGTTGGTACCTTAGGGAAATATACTCATGTTAAATATAGAATAAAAGTAGCAATGAGCCTAAATATATATTTTTTTTCATAGAATACAAGGAACAATTATAAGTCAAATATATGATGCTTTGCCTTTCCATATGTTTAGATTTGTTACAATTGTTCGGCCTTTTTCATTCAAGCTACGAATCAACATTGCTAAACAAGTAAGATTTTCATTGGAGTATTTATTTAACTTTTTTTGTAGGATATTGTTTCCATTGTGATGACGGTGATTTTCTTTATATCTCTTTATCCACATTATTATTCTAAGAACATGAATGGGTACAGCAAATTTTAGTCCGTATTTACAAATATGCTGTGACTAAAAATAGAAAATGAAAATGACATTGTGGCAGTGTTGCAAATGTGCTGCAAATAAGACAGACTCAAGAAATAACCAAGAAATAGAGTAGGTATAATTATATTTTATTCAAAACATGGACACTTTTAACTGTACAATCTAAATTCTGATTCTAATGATACTTTAAATATATAGCATACCAATTACATGCATACAAGTAAAATTTGGCTTAAAAATAGCAAAAAAAAATTTGGACAAAAAGGTGGGTTTTATTTGTTTTGCTCTTAAAATACGTGTAAGAATGAAAAATACAAAGTTTCATAAAAATGTAAAACTTCAAAAAGTTGTTTCATATAAAATACTAGTAAAAATTGTAAAGCTGTAAAAAAACGAGTTATCTACATTATAAAAGCTGAGGTTGGACAGGCCTGATACAATTATAGTTATATATATACATGTATATATATTTATGTACAAAGAAGAAAGTCGAACAAAGAATACTTTGTTAATGATGTTTTATATGAAGAATTCTTTGTAGGATGAAATATTGTTGCATGACATGTGCAAGTAACATAGATATATGTACAGAAACAACAAGAGTTAAATTTGAAGACATAAATATGCTTAATGTAGTCGCTTTACTAATTTAAAATGTTTTTTATATATTTTAACCACAAAAAAAAGTACAGTAATCAAATGCAAGTTTACATTTTTATAGTAATTTTATTTTAATGTGTCAAAACATTTTTCTTCAAAAAGTTTTAAAATTTTGTTCTACATCAATATGCATGATTACAAGCGTCCATATGTAGTCCATATGCAACATATGGTTATGACAACTAATTACTAGACTCCATATGTAACGTTAACTCAGGTCCATATGCAATGATAATGAAAGTTCTTTTCTCATTTTCCTTAGCATTTGCCAATCTTCATCAATAAAAGTATTATTCTTTCATCAAAGTGATTACAAAATAATTTTAATTTCATGAAAGTTGAAATGATGTGATAGTTTTTGGTATATCAAATCTATTAAAGACAAGTTTTTTGGTATATCAAATCTAATACAAAGACAAACGTGAGTACAACAGCTTTTAGATTATGACAATGATGAGGAGGCTTATGTACAAAATGGCTTATATTGTCACCTTAGTGCATCAACGGGTTAATTCCTTATGTAATTTAATGGGAGTTAACCTGTTACTGCACCAAGAATGCTTTAAATGATATCAAAACAACCGATGTTATGCTTATATTTAACTGCTGTTTTATACATAATTTTCAATAAGGTTTGATAATTCTTTGTAAATAAAGAGTGCCACACTTTTATAATCTAGTTTTTTTTTAAAAAGCACAAAATTAATACTCTTAAAATGGAAAAATTTCTGAAATGTTTCAATTAAATATCACCACTACTAATGGCACATTTTATTTTCAGAAAACAATTGTCAAAAGATGATTTTTAAAAGCTAAGAAATAACATGAATGATAAATGCAATAAATTGTTTAATCTAATTGTTTGAATACTATAGAATAATGACTTGCATACACCAACAAGATAAAGTCAGGTCAGGCTCTACTTCTGTGTTGTTTGAAGATATACTGTTGGCCAATCGATTCTTGCATTATGATACAGAAACTATTTAACCGGCACCATGCTAAGTATCGCTATATATTGTAAACGGACATGTCAATCTTATAACGTTGACGAAACAATTCAAGATACAAAGCGAAATTTACAAAACAAGCACCAACTGATAAGCCAACACAACAGTACATGATCAGACAGCATGGATGTGGAGTAAAGCTGATCTTTTGCTGAATTGGTCACACAAGTAGACTCAATTGACAACCAGCAGACTAAAGGCTTATATAATATGTTGGAGTTTGATTAGAAAGTTTCAAATCAAAATGGAAGCACAACAAGCCCTCTGTATTTATTTAGCAGTAATAAAACAGTGCATTTGCTGAGAAGAAAGTTGTTTCTTCTTGAATATAAAATTATACACAACAAATTTGTAAAGACATAACATTAAAATCTCACCTTATCAATTTATTTTGAAGTTTTTTAAAGTTTGTATATTAAGCCCATTATTTTGCTGCTTGTATTTCACTATTGAGCCTATCATATTACTCAGAGCTTTATTGGCTGGCAAAATTTGGCCTTGACCTTTAGTAAAAGAAATTTATACAGAAACAAGAGAAACGTCCTACATATATATCTCATAGTTTATATCATACATGAATATTACTGGCCTTAAAAAACAAGGGTGAGAGGACAAAACTACATGAAAAAACACCATTTCATAAATCCAATTTGTTTACAGTGACAAAAATGTAATTAGTGATATTAAAATGTAATTTCAGTACTTTGGGAGGAGTTTTTTACCATGAATCAGTCAGTGACATAAATGTGTCACTTTAGTGTTGATGGCCATAAAAGTTGATTAATCAACATAATAGATCATCCGCACACATTTGATTCTTGTAGGAAGTTCTTACTTAAAATTTCAAACATAATGCCCTTCACATTACACAGGTCTTTTGACATCTAAAATAATCTATCTATCTATTATGTAATAAAAATAATAACATAGTTTTATGTCTAAAAGGACACTAAATTTGACTTACTCTATTCAATAAAAAACAAAATGAACAGATTTTTGTGTGTCCTATCTGAATGGATGTGATTAATAAATACTTCAAATAATACATCAACATTACTTCTAACACTTATCAAACATATTTTATCTTTTAATTACTAAAAATATTCTTAAAAAATTGTAAACGTAGAAATTGTCCAGAAACTTTCATAACTGCATCATATTTGAAACTGCACCCATTTATTTTGTCTACAAATTTTTATAATACAGGGTCTGGGGCAGGTAGAAAACTCAAACATCTGTTATTTATTTATTAAGTCTTATCCATACTCTGGTGTTAATTGCAGCTTTTCATATTCTTCAGTTACATAACAACAGCATTGCATGATAGTGTTGTTTTTTTTCATTCTGGTTTGGTTTAGTTTTTTGGAATATGCAACAGAGGCAAAGAAAAATACTGGCTTTTGAGAATTTTTGGCATCAATGCTGATTTTTTAAAGCAGGTTTTCTGTGCCTGGCAAAGAATCTTTCAAAGTAAACATTTGGAAATGGAAGCCATTTTTTTATGAGTAAGCAAAACACATTTTTCAGTCTCCAGAAACCAAAATCTATTTTTGTGTCTATAAATACAAAGGTAATAATGACATCTGCATGAAAACAGGCTTCCTTCTCCCAGTCATTACTGTATAATCAAACAAACTATACATAATTAGCTGTCTGAGAGACATTCCTACATTTACATCAGCAAACAAATCAATCTGAGTCTTACACAAGCTCATTCAATATCATTTACAAAGTTTTGTGCAGAATCTGAATCTCACAGCAGCTTTCATAAAGTCTATCAAGCTTCCTATTAACCATGATTATACTAAAACAAAATCATGGTTTCCCTGATGGTTGCATGTTTTAAAGTCATGATGGGTAATCATCTTCCATTTGCCGTGACAGTTTCTCACAGAAATTGCTTTCCAAGTAGTTTCCTGGTGGAACACGCCGTGTCCTGTGCAGCGTTCCAGCCTCTTGTTCATGGAGGTAGGTTGGCATTCTACACAAACCTCAGCATGCTTCTGTAGAACATTGGCCCAGGGAGATCTCTGGCAGGCTCTTCCAACATGGGTAACTTTGTACACGGCACTGTACCTGTAGAATATAAATAAGGAACCTGTTTAATGCAGATGAAATTACACATTCTCTTGTTATAACTATAGAAACTATTGTCTTCCATGGTGTTTAGCATATAAAAACAGCCATCTCCCATGGTTGTAAGCATATAAAACAGTCATCTCTCATGGTGTTAAGCATATAAAAACAGTCATTGTAATGCAACATTAACATGTGCCTATTTTAGATCTATATAAAGTAACAAAGATCTCCTACTCTGAGGAGTCAAAAATTGTCATCAAACTTGCACAGTCAGCACTAAATTTTCTCATGTGTAATTTAAATAATGTCAATCTTCAAATTGTTCAAAATAGAGCTATGATCAGATACAGTTCTGATCTTATCATTTGATACAAGCCATAAAGAATTCACAAATTTAATTCAAATCTTTTATAATTCTATATTGTTTCAATAAAATCTCTAAAAACGAAGGTCTTTACTTTTGAGTAGGTTTCTTACTTCATTTGAAAGAATCTATCAAGCAAGGGCACAGGATAATTGTATAGTCAAACAACCTTTTAAATGTCTAAATATGTGTCATTGTCTGCCTTAAAGTCATTTATGTCAAGACTTATAATCCATTAAATTACTGATATCCTTAAATCTAGTTAATGAACCAGTAATGTTTTTCTGAATAAAATGTCATTTTTTATACAATAATAAGCTGATATATCAAATGATATAGAAAAACTATATAACATTAAATTGACAAAAAATTAACCAGTCAATTAGATGTAAATGCTTTTTTGCTTACATCTATGTACATATGACATGTCATATTGTAGCCATAAGGTCTTAGATCTTCAATCAAACAAATGATCATTTTTTAACAAAATATAATTATGCATTTTACCCCTTACAAAGCTTAATGTTCATAATGGACATGTTTGTCTTCTGAAATTTGGAACAGTTCATTTAAAATGTGTAGGGTTTTAAGATCAAAATTCTAAAATAAAGGTGCCATCCATGTATGAACGTGGTTAGTCTGGAGTTCATTCTCCTTACACTATGTAGTAAATGTAGGCAGGGAACCAGAGTAGAACCGTATCAGACCGCAAAAATTGTTAGTCTGGTTCTAAAGCATTACAAGAAAAGCATTGATGCAAAGCATCAAAGGGCGTCCAAGCAAGAAATGCAGCAAGTGAAGATGAACTAGTACACATATGATGACAAGATATTCTTATAAACTACCAGAAATGTATACCACTTATGAATGAGCGGACGAAAGACATTGTTCATTATGAACTTTGATTGGCATGCTAGAGATTAGAATATTACTTGTTATTTCTTTATGATCGTGGTTATTAATAGCAACGGATATACATGTATGCAATCATTTATAATCCATATGTGTAACGCATGATCAACACGTACCACACATTTGTCCCTTATTATGTTATCGCTATTAGCGAAGACCCCCTTAAGGTATCTGTTCACACTTTAAGTTAGTAAAAATATGACACTGGTTATATTACCATGTTGATCATGTTGAGCATAATTGTTTATTATACAATAATTGTAATATCTATTAATTTTAATTAAAAAAAATACAAATTTTATGAATATTGTTTTCTTTTATTCTTTTTTGTGTTTTATGTGCTATTTTAATACTGAGTTTTTACTACTCTTTTTTATTAAAATTGTAAAATAAATTTTAAGAATTCAATTGTCATATAAATGACCGACGATTATAAGTCAAAGCTTAACTGGAAAAAGTCAGTAAATTATGGTTTATCTTTCAATATATAATATTGTTTATTCTTAAACCATGTACATTGTATTTTTCTTTATCATTTTTTAAATTATCGATCAATTGAATAATTCATAAAATCTAATTTGTAACTTTGAATAATTCCTCGGCATCTTTACTAAACACGGATAACAAATTAAATAATTAAATAAAATGTTTCAGAGTTGATAATGTCATTTTAATACCATAAAAAATGTACCTTTTTCTCAATTATTGTACATATCACGGATTTATATTACATATAAATCCGTGTACATATTTATTGTTTTTATCTCATATAGATAAAATGAAACATGCTATTGTTGTTTTTTTTCTAATTGTAACGATATCAAACATCTACTCCAAAACCGGGAGAGACTGGACAATAAACCTGTGGTACTATTCGCCGGTCACTAGTAAGTCCTGGTCAAAATAGACCGGGAGAGACCGGCATTTACCGATAGGAGTGATAAATAGATATATCTATAAATAGGTTTTTGGAATATTTAGGTCATCAACTGATCATTCTAGGATACATGTACAACAATAACATACCATGATAACCGACTGTGTACTACAAAATGATAAATACAAAACCCCGAAGGGCGCGATTTATTGACGGAAAAGGTTATTTCATTTGAAAATGTTTGCATTGCGAAAATTCATTGTAACATATCGCGACATTTCATTCTTATTTAATAATCAAGCACCCGCATACCGATCGGAATTTTCGGCTTTTATTATGACCGACTAAAAGGCTCGAGAAGTTGCTGTCGCCCTTTCACAAAATCTGATCTCATTCCATAAGAGCGCCGCGCTTCGGCGCGGACGCCAATAAGAAAGTCATTCTTGCTGCTTGCATTTACCTTAATCACACTAAATATCTTCAATGGACTTGTCTGCATATTCTTTTTAGAGAACTTATTGGCAAACAGTGCAGACCATGATCAGATGACACAGAAGTGCCAGCTGATCTTGGTCTGCACTGTAGAAATATGTCCTGCTGTTGAAGAGTTAATTCATCAATTTTATTTGTGTCTGAAATTGGATATTGAAACAGTCTCATTTGTTACAAGTCACCTAATTGGTTGATTAACAAAGCACATGAATGAACCTGACCAATGCACCAATAAAATACACACATAAGTAAAACCTATATCCCTTTCCCTGCCAAATTTCCTAAATGGAAGTCTTATTCAATATTTTAAAAGATCATTATCAGTTTTAGTAAAATATATTAAAATCTGGCATCAATATACACCTTAATTGCCAGACTCCAAGGATGTGTAGGCTGGTGCTGGTTCAATACAGTTGGTAATGATTTTAAAGATTTGACTGTAAAGATTAATTTTGGGCAATACTTCCTTTCATAGGCACACTGTATCTTTCAAATACTAACTCACTGTAAACCAAAGCATTATTTATTTAACATGTCATTTAAATATGTTAAAGTCATAAACATTATTGCATTCCAAACATAACCAAACACTTCTCACCTGTCTGTTCTATTCAACATATGGTTTAAAACTTTCACCAGTTCTATTTCAAACATTAAATTCTTATCTCCCATCAATGTACTTAAAGACACCTTTCATTCCATCTTCATCTCCAAATATTCTACTCAAATCTTCCTGAGAACATTTTTTCAAACATTTTGACCTCCTAGGAGTATCATTATTCTTGTATATATAATCAAACCAATTCTCAAATATTCCAGTAATTACTTCAACACTATTGCTCTTGACTTTAATGATATTCCCAATTCTGAATGAGTGTGCAGTCACAATTGGTTTACTTTCAAGGTAAGTAACTCTTGATTATGGCCCTTATAATAGAATCAGATTCAAGAAGTAAATAATTTTACTATAAAAGAACATAGGAAAAGTATTAGCAATTTACTAAGGGAAAGTATTTACAAACAAAATAAGAATTCATTCAATTGCTGATGCTTTGATTGGATTGTTAGCACTTTGGAAAACATTTTCTGTAGAATAAACAAATACAATCAAAGCTTGGCAACTTTGATTTGTAACAATAAATCTCATCTAAGTAAAACAACCATTGATATTAGAACATTAGTATTGTTACATGTTTTATGTCCAAGCTTGCTTTTTCCTGCTGACATTGTTTTAGAATAAGCACGTTTGCAGATTCTGGTAAACTACTTGGTGTTAAGAACACCTTTTCTTTAATAGCTATCTATTTCTGGTGTACTTTCTTAAATAGAGATTTTATCAACATCTTAACATATTGTAAAATGATCTAAATATCATATATTTAGATCAGAGTTTGATAAAAGTTGATAATATGCTATGTTTTTTCAATCAGTTTTCTTTAAAAACAGTCAGAATTAAAATATTGCCAAATGCAATTCAGAATCTACCACACAAGTTTGAAAAACTGTCTGTGAATCTAATTGAAAATGTTGGAATTGGGTATTATTTTCTGAGCATACAATTTTGTTGAAATGTTTTCCTTTTTATTGAAATTCCTGCCAATCACAGACCTTAGCATTTATACCTACGTGCCAGTCTCTCACCTGATACTAATCAAATGATAAATCTTTTCTATGAAAACCATCAATAAAAACAAGAAATTAACAGTAACTTACAAGCAAAAACTGTGAACAGATTAGCAAAACCTGTGCCAAAAAAACTTAGCAAAACAACTGAATAAAAATGCTATGACATCATAATACTTAACAGTGAAGTAATGTTATAGTGTTTTGCTGTTTTTTCCCTTGATATGTCAATCAGTTATAAGGGCAATGAATCTCTTCAAGTGAAAACATAATTGACAAAACAGACTTCATGGAATTTCTTTCAGGTTTTTTTTCTATAAACACAGTATAAAGAGTGTGCAAGACAATAATGTATTAAACCAGATCTGTTATATAACATTACACCATTCATTTAATGCTTACAATAATCAATTACTAACATGGTTCAAGAAATAAGACTTTTGAAAATCAAGAAATAACTAAATAAGTATATTTGACCATCAGTTATGATAAGTCTGTTTAAGGACATATATTCATAATTATTGTTGATGTTGCAGACCTGATATCAGGAAAGATACTTTAAATGTTAGCTATTGGGTAGCCAAATCTCTTGAGCTGTCGAACTGTAAGCATTATGGTCCTGGTTCCAAGTTTTGCCTATGGTTCAGTGTTGCCGGTTGTGTTGGGGGATGTGTTCATTGAATGCCAAACTTCCTTGTTGGTCTTTGTTTTTCATACTGGTTACATAGG